TATTGGTGAACATTTGTTTGTTTCCCATATTCTTTGGCCATAATAAATTATGCTGCATCTTCTTCTGCTATAATAAATTATAACCTTATAAATACGTCACTTCACATGTTTGCAAGTCTATCTGTGGGATAAGTTCTCAGAAGCAGGATTACTGGGGTAAAGAGTATAAGCCTTGCAATTTTGATGGATTTTACCCAATTGCCGTCTGTGGGGGTTCTCCCACCAGTAACGTAAGAGGGAGCTTATTTCTCCACAGACTCTCCAACAGAGTGAGTTCTTAAACTTTTGGCTTTTGGCCAACTTTGCTCGACAAATGATATTATCTCAGTGTAGTTTTCATTTGCATTTTTATTATGAACAAAGTTAAGCATCTTTTCATAGAGGTAAGGGTCATTTATACATTTTTTTAATGTTTAAGTTTAGGGGTACATGTGTAGGTTTGTTATACAGTATAGGCAAACCCATGTCATGCGGGTTTGTGGTACAGTAAATTTCTAGGAACTGGTCTACTCACATCCATTTGTGTGACTGTACTTTTCTTATCAATTTGTAAGAGCTCATACATTTTTGAGAGAGTAGCCCTCAATTTGTGATATGGCTTATAAATATATCCCCTTAGATTTTTCTTGCTTATTATTATTATTGTTATTTTTGAGAGACAGGGTCTCACTCTGTCACCCAGGCTGGAGTACAGTGGCACAATCATGGCTTGCTGAAGCCTCAACCCCTCAGGCTTGAGCAATCCTCCTACCTCATCCAAGTAGCTCGTACCATAAGTGTGCACCACCATGCTTGGCTAATTTTTAACTTTTTTTTGTAGAGACGGAGTCTTGCTACGTTGCCCAGGCTGGTCTCGACCTGCTGGCCTCAAGCAAAGCTCCTGCCTTGGTCTCCCAAAGTGCTGGGATTACAGGCATGAGACACTGCACCTGGCCTGCTTATTATTCTTTTTTTCCATGCAGAAGTTTTAATATTTACTAGTCAAATGCATCAGTCTTTTATGAGTTCTGGAATTTGAGTTTTGGCTAGAGCTGTTACCCATGGCTGTATAGGAATTCTGCTGCATTTGTCCAGGCATTTTAAAGTTTCATAGTTTTTTGTTTTAAGTCTTTGATCCCTTTGAAGTTTATCCTGAACTACAGTGTGGGGTATAGATCTGACTTTATTTTTCTCCAGATGGGCACCCAGTTGGTCCCATGCCATTTACTGATTCGACTATATTTTCCTCACTGATCTGAGATGTCACATGTATCACATCCTCAGCTCCACACACAGCAGGGTCTATTTCTCACATTTTTATTCTGTACTGTTGGGATATCTGTCTGGGCATATGCCAGTGACACTCTGATTTGATTACTGGGAATAGATAGTATGCTCTTTTCCATTGCTCCTCCTTCTCAGTTTCTACAGATATGTTGGTTTACTTTTCTATACAAACTTTAAAGTCAGCTTGTCTACTCCTGTAACTTTACCCTCCACCCCTAATTGTGTTAGTATTTTATGGACCAGTGGTTAGGAATGTAGATGCTGGAATGAGAGACTGCCTGTACTCAAATCCCAATTGCCATTTTTCTGTGAGTGGGCAAATTTCTTAGTTTTTTAAAACTTAAATTTCCCCATTGAATATTCCACATAGTATCCTGTTATGAGAACATTCACAGAAGGAACTCAGCTAACACGGACTTCATTTACTAGGAACTATGTACAATACACTTATTACTGATGTTGTGATTCTCACAATCATTATTGAAGTGTCTCCATGACAGTGTCCCCACCCCACACAGCCATATCTCAATGTCATTGTCAGTGGAGGGGGGCAGAGGGAACGGCTCTGGCAGCTTAGCTTGTCTATAGGACCATGAGATTGGGTGTAGAGGGCCTTCGTGGCCTCCTGTCTCCAGTGGGAGAGACTCGTGTGTCCTGAGATTTAACACGCATTGCGACCTCTGGGGGCTGGGAGTGTTGACTGGACACACTGCGCCCTTCTAAATCTCAAAACACAGCCCCCGTCTTTCCTCCTCCCTCCGCTTCTCAGCACCTCTCCTCAGCATAGATCCATTCTTTGGTTAAAGAAGAGAGAGGCCTGAATAATAACAAGAATGACGATAATAACATTTGCTGCTATTTTGAGTCTCTTATCTGCCCAATAACTTGGAAGGAGTAGCTGGGAAAGAATCAAAATCATCATGACCATTCCACAATTGTCAGGATTTTTGGTTTCAATGCATAGCTTCCAACAAACCCTGTGGGGCTGAAGCGTGCCATCTTCCTCTTGCTACCTGGAGATGTGCAGCAGTGAGAGTCAGTCTCAGGCCAGATTCTACCATATGAAGAATGAGAGGTAGGTGTTCATCAAAGCATCACCCCCATGCCTGTGAGTGCAGAGTCCTTGGCATTTGGACAAGCACCGTGCATAAGAACACTCCAGGCAAAGGAAACAGTGTTTTGGTGGGAGAACCAGCCATCCTTCTAGGAACACCAGGTGGCAGACCCCTCCATTAAGTAGGGGTGGGGACACGCAGAACCAAAGGGAACTCTGGTTTCTGCATGCTTGAACCCTGTTTATGCAAAGGCCAGAATGCTGGACAGCCTTTCTAACCAGCCATGATTCTTGACCCCTGTTATTTACCCATGGCAAGTGGATCTGACCTACATGAGGTTAGGCTATAGACCCTATGGTATGAATTTAGATAAAGATAGTTGAAGTCCTTGATAGCACCTTCTAGAACATGGATTCTTGATAGGGAACCTCAACTGTTAACTAATTGCCTTAGGGTGAAGATGAAAGTAAATTTATACACATGTCTACATTTACTTCACATGGTTAATGCTTAAGTATTTTAAAGTAATTAATAGATGAGATGATAGGGACTTAATTCAACCCTGACTTCACACATGGGGAAGCTAAGGCTGAAGAAGGCAAGTAACTTGCCCAAGGTTACATGGCCACTAAGTGGGGTTCTGGAATTGAAACCCAGGTCTCTGCTGCTTTCCTGCCCTGTGATGACTGACTCCCCCCAGATGAGTGGACGCTTTAGGAGCCACCGTCCTGACCGTGCCCCTGACCGCAGCCCCAGTGCAGGGCTGGGCCCCAGCCATGCTGCCTGCATCCTCCTGCCCTTTTCCACCTTGGGCCTTCGCACGTGCTGCGTCTTCTGCCTGAAAAGTTCTTCCCAGTGCTGGAGGTTTTATTGCCACTAGGGCCTAGTGCACATGTCACCTCTTGGTGAGGCCCCTGACCACCAGAAAAGCCACACTCCCCATGCTTCTTTATCTCAGAGCTTATGTTCCCTTCACGGCACTTTCCACGATGCACGGTTGCTTCACGTGTAAGGAAGCTGTCCTACAGACGCTGGGGCCAAGGCTGCCACCTTCACTCTTCTATCCCCAGAGCTTAGCCCAGAGCCCACAGCAGATGAGACAATCGCCTTTCATTGAATAGATAATGAAGGGTAAGCATTAGTGAACCTGAAATCTAGTGTGGACTCGGGGTATCCGCGTGACAGCTGCTGCCCTTTATCCTCCTTCCGTGTCTCTGCCCACTGGGCTGCTGTGGTTTCTGTTTGGGGCCCTGTGAGCATTCCTGCTTCGGCTGGGCCTGGGGCCACCCTCTGAGTCACAGCCTGCCTGGCGGGACTTCCAGGTTCCTGGCTAGCTGTGCCAGTCTCTGCACTTCTTCAGGTAGTGGCCTCAGCTCTTGCACCCCGAGCTTGTCAGCACCCTGAAAGCATCTGGTTCTATGGGTGTGATGGGGACGGACAGGGTGCTTCCCTCCTTTGATTGTTTCCATGCCAGCCTCACTTGGGAGGCCAGCCTGGTATCTTCATCTGCTTATCTCTCTTCCTCCTTGAAACCACACAACCTCCAGCAGCCCTCCGAGTAGAGATCTTAAACTAGCTCAGCTAAACTCCCCCTTACTTCCTCTCTTCCCTCCCCTTCAAGGTCCTCATCCTTGCTTCGTCACCCCCACTTCCCCTCCATGTCAGAGCCAGGGATAGTCATGGCCGCAGCCCTCGTGAGCCTTCTCCACATCCCAGGCAGGCGTGCTGCAGGCAGACCCACGAACGAACCCAGGTGAGTGCTCTTCTTCCGACTCAGATGAGGAAACTGAGCATGCACAGGTTGGGAAGTGAGCTGTGTTTGTTGGCCAGGATTTATTTTGACTGGTGGCTGCATGTCCAGATGGTCTAGGCTGGCTCATCAAAGGATGCTCTTGTGAATGGCCTGCCACCAGTGGGGACCGACGGGGCCCCCTCGGTGCTGCTGATGACAGCGGCAGATGCCTGCATGTGGAGTCCCATCATTAGCCCAATATTCCCGACCTCTCTTCTCACAAGGGGATAGGTAGATGAATGATTTAGCTGATAGGTGAATTTGGGAGAACAAACAGGTCTCATGAATGCTCACCTTCTTCTCCTGCCTGCAGGGTGCCTGGGTCACTACTGTTCTTGGTCACAGAGTGAGCCAGAGAATGGCAGCCTCCCTCCCCTGCCCGAGCTGCCCTGGAGCAGGACTGGGAGGGTCCAGGGCTGCGGGAACTGAATAGGGGATTTGTCCAGTTCTGAGGTTCGATATCAGAAAGCCCAGGTGCTTGCAGCTCTCAGGCCTATTCCTCCAAGTCAGCTTTCTCAGCTGTTAAGGTGATATTTCGGTCTCTCCTCTTCTCCACTTCTCTCTGTTCAGAATTTCTAGGACCTAGTAGGCAAGAGGAGGCCACTCACTGGGCTCCCTCCAGCCCTAACCCACAGCAGTGAGGAGGTGCCGGGTGGTCCGTGGGGCTGTCTGACCCCTCCCAGCCCACCTCAGGTGGTGCCTGGGTGCCATCTCAGAAGCCTCGTTGGGTGACAAACCGTTTTGGAGGCTAGTCTGCTGTCAGACAAGAGAAATGTGGGGTTTGGGGTAGGGTTGCCAGATAAAATACAGGGTGCCTGCTTAATATAGAATTTAAGATAAACAGTGGGTAATGTTTTAGTATAAGTATGTCTCAAGTATAGCCTGAAACGTTAATATATTAGAAAAATTACTCTTTACCCGAAATTTGAATCTAACTGGGCACCCTGCATTTTCATTTGCTAACCCTAGTTTTGTTTGGCAACCCTAGTTTGGATAGGCTCTGGATGTTTCTCAAGCACGATGTAGGGAGAGGAGAGGAGATGGGGTCCCTATATCTCTCAGAAGGCCCTATATCTCTCAGAATGAGTAACAAAATTCTGAGTCAATGTGCATGGTCAGTGAAGAAATTTATCATTGCTCATAGCAAGGAGTCCAGGGCCAGGCAGGCTCCCGCCTCAGGCTCTGGAGCTCCAGCTCCACCCACCCTGAGGCTCTCTCAGCTCTGCCCTGGGATGCCCATCCCCAGGGTGCAGCAACCAGCTGTGGGTGTGATGGCCCAGCCTCCCTGCAAGGAGCCCTGTCTCTGTGGTCCTCCTGCAGGCTGTGCAGAGAGGAGCGGGTGGGGTACCTGAACAACTTGGGATCTCCACCTCTGAAGGAGGGAGGAGGTTGAGATGATGCATGCCCTTCCCCTCGGAGTGGGCTTTGGTAGGGGTGGTGAGCTCTAAGATCGCCCTCTACTCCATGGAAGCTTCCAGGACGAACCAGTGCCTGCAGACATGTGTCTTCCTTTCCTAGTCAATGTTTCCCTGAGCATCCCTGGGCTGCCACTTTCAGATTCCATGCACTGAAGGACCCTCCACAAATGTCTCCCTGCTTCGGGTGCTCACCCCTGCCACCCTACCGGGATTGACCCGTGTTCCCCTGTCTCCATCATCCGCTGGGGGCACTTCTTCTCCACAGGTATGTAAACTCCTCTCTGAGGAACATGCCCCGTATCCCCACAGAAGCATTTCCAGGAGCCTTACGAGTCTGTGTTGTTACAGAATCTGTGAGAGGTCCCTGTGGCCCTGCCCGGCTGCCCCAGGCAACTGGTATTGGCACTGCCATCTCCCTCCTTCCCTCTGCACACCAACCACTGGTTCTCCCCTGTTCCTGGCACTCAGCCTGGCACATGACAGGTGTCCAACTGTGAACTGAGTTGTCCAGAATAAGCCTAGTGGCCCAGGCTGGCTGGGGATTAGGGGGTCCAAGGCCACAACCACCTGCAGGTCTGTCCCAATCCATAGGTCAGACAGTGGGCGGGTGGCCCTTTAATCAAGGGCAGGGGAGGGTCAGGCAAAGGCCAGACATTCAGGTTAAAGCTGCTTGAGCCTGACAGAGCTGGGAGAAGGGCCTGCTAGGGAGGTGCCTGGAAGGAGCTGTGATTTAAAGCAGCTTCCTTGGCATAAACTGTGGGCTTCTACAACCCTGCAGAGCTCCTGTCTCCCTGGGTAGGGCTTAGAGGGTGAGGCTCCAGCTCCCTGGCCTTGTCTCCTGCTGACAAGGGTGAGGTGGTGAGGAAGGCCACTGCCTCCACCATGTATCTGCTTTAGTTCAGACCCGGGAGCCATGAGTATTCTCCAGGTTGATTCAGTTTGATGAACCCTTGCTTATAGTGTCCTCTGTGGCAGGGTCAGGTATCTCATGGGGTATGATACCCACATTGATGCAGTACCAGATGCCAAGAATCAGGTTACATATTTTATGTATCTTGATCTCTTTTAACCTCGTGACATCCCTGTGAGGTAGGTATTATTCTTATTCTTGTCCTCATTTTTCAGTTGAAGAAACTGAGGTTCCAAGAGGTTCAGTGACCTCACAAGTATGTGGGCAATGCACAGCAGTGTGGAGGCCCCAGAAAGGGGAGCAGAGTGGGGCTGCTCCTGGGGTCACTGCTACTGCTGGGGCTTGGGGAGGAAGCCTAATGGCAACCCCAAGGCCATGGAGCAGATGGCCTGTGCAGCAGTGGTTGTCAGATGGGACAGTGTGGCTGTCTGACCATCCTGGCAACATGGTAGCCCTGGTCTGGGGGTCTGGGGAAAGGACAGGCCAGTGTTTTCATGGGGGGCAGGCTGCTTGGACACTGCTGCTTCCCTGGCCAGCACACGCATTGATTATTTTTCCCATTTGGCTCCCACAGGGCCTGGTAATGGAATTGAAGAAATCTGAATGAATTGTCTGATGCATCATGACTAAGCTTAGAATGTGCCAAGTGTCTCCCAGGAGTGGCCCTTGGACAGCAGGGCTGGAGTGCTGGGACTCTGTGAGCAGGAAGGAGGCCGTGCTCAGGGAGAGCCACCGACTGAGCCGCTCAGGAGTTCTGGAAGTGCTTGGAGGGTGTGGGCAGTTGTCAAATGAATTTGTGGCACCAGCCCCTTGGCTTTCTGGTGAAGGGGTAGTGGCACAGTCTGTCGTCGTGCCTCTGGTGGTAGATGGGCAACTCAGTCCACACAACCTCCTTCATAAAGCCTTGGATACTCCCAAGCTTTACGGATCTCATTTTGACTTCCCAGGAAGCTCCATATATTGGTCTTTGTGAATTTTATGGAGCATTGCAGGATAATTTTCATTTTTTTTCCATGAACACTCCATTTCAAGTATGTTCAGGAAGGCTTTCATCATCTCTTTTGGGCCTCCACTTCCCTCCCACCTCCTTCCTACATCTGTTCCTCTCTAGGGTGAATAGTTTCAATTTTATCAACGTTTCTTCCTGTGGCTGTATGTGTAGGTCCTTTTCCCATGCTGATCACCAAATATAAGATTTATTTATATCCTACCCAACATGTACTCTTTAAAATTCAGGTGCCCGTAAGAATGATAGTAGCTAAGAGCTTTTATTGAGCTCAAACGCTGTCCACATGCTTCATGTTCATTTTCCCTTTTAATGTCACAATGACCTTTTGAAATCGATATTATTGTTACCTCCCACTTTGTCAATGAGGACACTGAGATTCAGGAAGGTTAAGTACCTCTCTTGCTCAAAGGTACACAGCAAATGAGGAGGAGAGCTGGGATGAGACCTAGGAATCTAGGCTCCGAGCCCCTCCACCCTGCTACTCAAAGTACGGCCCAGAGACCAGTGGCTCAGGCAGCCACCGGGGCCTTGTGAGAACTGCTGACTCTCAGGCCCACATCCAGACGTCCCGGATCAGGAGGCCAGTTGGTTCACGTACATGCTCAAGTTGGAGCAGCTCTGGTCTAGTCTCCCTGGAAGGACATGCACCCCTTTACTTTCACTGATGCTGCCTTGGAGCATGTTAGATTCCGGTGTCACAGCCCCTTCTCTCCACCCTGAGTTGGTGCTGTCCTCAGGCTCATCTCTGTCCTGCACTGGCCCTTCCTGCAGAAGGCACATTTGTCAGAATGATAGTATGATGGTTAATTTTATGAGTCAACTTGGCAAGGCCATGGTACTTAGACATTTGGTAAGCATTACTCTAGATATTTCTATGATGGTATTTTTTAGATGAGATTAACATTTAAATCAGTGGACTGAGTAAAACAGATTACTGTCGTTAATGTGGGTGGGTCTCCCTCAATCAGTTGAAGGCCTTAATAGAAAAAAATCAAAACAAAACTGACCTTCCCCTTAATAGAAAAAGACTGAAGAAGAAGCATTTCTGCTGGAAAACTGCATTTGGACTTGAACTGCAACTCTTCCCTGGATCTCCAACCTGCCAGCCTATCACATTCATGTAAGCCAATTTTTTAAGATAACTCTTTCCCACCCTTCTCTATTAATATCTATCTATCTATCCATCTCTCTCTCTCTTTCCCCCTCTCCTGTTTGTTCTTTTTCTCTGAAGAACCCTAATACATCACTTTTCTGCAGTCAGAATTCACAGTTTGAAGCAGACTTGGCTCTAGAGGTATGTGGAGATGGATGAATACAGAGGGGAAGGCTGGCTGATGTTTTCCCAAGGGACAACCCTTATTTCTCTGAAGAAACAGATAGTGTTCCTCATCCTACAACTCTCACTGGGGCTCTGCTCTGCAGAAATGGTCAGCAGTGTATACCTGGGCTCAGACCTGGTTATGCAGTCACATCTCACATGCCTACACCCAAACCCACTGCTCCCATGGCTCTGGATCCTCCTGGTACCTGTCTCCCTGGTGACCAAGCTTAAGGGTACCTCTCCTCCAACTCTGCTGCTTGGCCCAGGGCAACTCTGAGGTCATAGCAATGTCCCAATCAGACTGGTTAGGAGGAAGAGGGGTTGGGGCAGAATGAGGCAAGGGAGGCTTTCAGCAATTCAACTATCATGTGTCAGGTTTTGCTGTTTTGTGGTTTTATTTGTAATTTTCTTAACCTACGTGAATAAAAACAGGGTAAAACATTGAGCTTCTTGGTTCTGTAAGCCAATATTTTTCACCAAATTTGGATTTTTTTCCTGTTAATGTCTCCAAAAACTTTCCTGGAGAAATTCCCATTCTCTTTTCTTCTAGCACTCAAATTATAGACATACAAAGTCATTTGATAGTTTCCTATTAGTTATTGAGGCACTGGTTATCTTTCTTTAATCTTTCTGTTCTTCAGATTAATACTTTCAATGGATTTTTTTTTAGTTTATTGACTCTTTCCTCTGCTATCTCCTATTTGATGTTAAACCCATCCAGTAAAATGTTTGTGTCAGCAATTGTACAGCTCTCATGTTTCTTCCTGTTGAGATAGCCATCTGTTCATGAATTAGGATAATATTTTCCTTGAATTCCTTGAACTCTGATATCTTATTTGGGTACTCAGCATGTTAATGAGGTGTGGGTCAGAGTGCTAATGTCTACCATCACTCTTCAGCCTCTGTATTATGCTTTCAAACTTGTAGTAGGTGTTCCCTGGTCAGACCTAGGTAGTTACACCCTGTACATATACAGCCCACTCCTCAGTCTTCAGCTTCCAGGGTGCAACATTTCTAGAGTTCTGTCCTTACCTTTTCCCCGTCATGCAGCAGCTGCTCCAGCTGCCTTGAAGTCTGTTTTCTGCCTCCTCAGCCCATTGGTACTGCCATGCTTTGTTTGGACTCATTCATTGCTCTGAAGTTGGAAAATTTCCCTAGAAAGAGAGTAGGATGGTTATTGAGCATTACCCTTGTTTCCTCTAACATAACACCTAGTAAAGTTTGAATTTTTATCTTCTATCTCTTATATTGGGCCATAGGATTGAGTAGTTTCTCTGGCTTTCCTGGTTCTCACACAATGGCATCTTGCCTTTCAGTTCATCTGATGGTCGGTCCAAGACTCCCCCATCCTTTTTTTTGTTTTTGTTTTTGTTTTTGTTTTTGAGACAGTAACTCACTCTGCCACCCAGGCTAAAGTGCAGTGGTGCAGTCATGGCTCACTGTAACCTTCTTTTCAGGCTCAAGTGATCCTCCCACCTTAGTCTCCTGAGTAGCTGGAACTACAGGTGTGTACCACTATGCCTAGCTAAATTTTTCACTTTTTGTAGAGATGGGGCTCTCACTATACTGCCTAGCTGATCTCAAACTCCTGGCCTCAAGCGATCCTCTCATTTTGACCTCCCAAACGAAACAGTGGGATTTCAGACATGAGCAATTGTGCCTGGCCACAAAGGCCTTTTTTTAAAAAAAAAATTGTGATAGGTAGTCTTTATTCCCACTATGTGGCACTCACTGTATGCTAGGCATTGTGGTAAATGCCGTGTATCTATTTCTCACTCTCATATCGGCCTCTTCAGGGAAGTGTTTATACCACCCCCATTTTACATGTAAGGGAGGGGAATGTAGAGGGGTGAAAGGGCTTTCAGTGGTCACAAAGAAAGAAGTGGCAGTTGAGAACTGAACTCGGGACTGTTCCATCTCATCCCATGCACTAAGCCATTGCTTTCTTGTTTCTATACACCTATCTACAGCCCAACTTCTCTGCCATTTCAGCCCCTTAAAGCACTAACATAGGTTTCTGGAGAACAGTTTTCTCTGCCACTGATTGTTTCTGCCAATGGATAACGCAGTATACCCTGCACTTGATACCCCTGCACTCCCAGACACTCTCCTCTCCCCAGCATAGCAGTGTTTGATCAAGTACCTTCCAGCACCATCGATGGGTACAGTAGTTTCCTAGGGACCCTGGGAGAAGGTGCAAAAACAATTTTTTTACCTAAAGGGGTCTTAGAGACAGTTATGTCATCCATTTTGCAGAGGAAAAGACTGACCTAGAAGGGAGTGGCCTCGCGAAAGGCCCATGGCTGCTACAGTGCCAACACTAGAACTCAGCTCTTCAGATTTCCACGTCTATCTGTTAAGATTCTGGCAGGAAGCACATGTCACTTGGGTTGCAGTTGAGGAGAATTCAGTGCAGGGACTGTTTACGAGGGAGTGGGCAGAGTTAAAGGACACTAACAAGGGATGATGAAGGATGCTAGGATTTGTAATAGCAGAAAGCCATTGCTACACCCGTACCTGTAAGGTTTAGGGAAGGGAGAGCTAAAGCAAAGGAGAGGGCTACCTGACAAGAGCTATGCCCTTGGGTAGAGGAATGCAGCCCAAACAAGTCATGGCCCATCAGGGAGGGAGTTGGGAAAATAAATACCCTGACTGTCTCTCCACCCACCTTCTGATCTCCTCTTAGCACCTCCCATTGGCTGAAACCATCTGGAAGCCAGACACCAAGGAAACCTTGTTGATGCATTTCATTGAGTTTGGCCTCCCTGGACACAGAGCAGAGCAGAAAAAGGTGGAGGGAGGCTCTGGAGGGGCAACTGGAGAGTAGCCAGCACTTCATACTGATGCCTCAACTCCACCTGCTCCAGAAGACAGAGCGTCTGTACTCTTCAGGAGTTTGTAAGTCCAGATAGAGGGCCAGGAGTGAACAGGTAACCAATAGTTCAAGACTGAAACCCCTGTGAGGAGCAGAGAGGATTGGTCCCCAGGCTGGATGTGCATCCGCCCCAGGGAATGGGACTCTTAGGGAGTTGTTCTCCTAGGTAGGGCTTGTCGCTCTCTGTACCTGTGGAGAGAATAGGATTCTCTCAATGCCATTAAACTGAACAAGCATTTATTGAGTGTGTACTGTTTGGAAGGTGTTGGGTCTCTAAAGATGCATAGGCGTAACCTACCTCTGCCTCTGAGAGATTCGGAGAGGCATATAGGTGACCAGAAAACATCATTTTTCTGCATGAAGTTTGGGGGAGGCACATGTGCTTCTTGGTTTACCAGTTGACAAGGTGAAATTTCCACGGTGGGTGTTGAGTGTGTGCATGGACTTGGGCATGGCTTCTAAGATAAAGGAGTTTTAAACCTCTGTCTTCTGCCCTGCCATCTCCGCCACTTTCTAGTTATAAGAGGAATGGCAAACTGTGGCCATTATGTGAGCCATCAGGGTCTGGGGACTTGCCGGGGTAGACATTTTCCTGTTGGCTCTGAATGAAGACATCATCCAGTGGCTACTCTGAGAGTATGCGGAGTGGGCATGGGTGATGGTAGAGACTCCCAAGTGTCTCAGGGACAGGCATTATAGGATGATGGCTCTTTCCTTATTGGGGTTGGGGGGCGGGTCTGTGAGCGAACACTAAAGACTAGAGCTTCCAAATCCTACAACTCTGCCTTGATGGTATAATAGTGAAAATAGCTAAAATATATTGCCAGGCACTGTGTTAACTGCTCTGCAAGCATTCTCTCGATATATTCTTACAATGATCTTAAGAAGTAGGTACTAGGAGCAAACGGAAGCTATGAAGGATTAAGGGACTTACCCAGGGTCACACAGTTGGTACATGGCAGAGCCCGAATTCCACTCATCCCTGTGTGCCTGTGGAATGTTACCTGGGTGTGGAGGTGCTGAGAACGGTGTTGGACTTCGGAAAACAGTTTGGCTCTTGAACCATTTTCTGCATTGTTCTCTGCTTAGGAGGGTTGGAACCTCTTGTTCTGAGCATGCGAAGGACTCACTGACCTTTCCTGATGCTCCGCTGGGCCCAGGTTCTCCTCTGAATGACAGAGGTTCTAGGGACCAAGAACACAATACAAAGCTTCACCTCCCAGGCCTCCCTCCCCACCTGACTGGCCAGCTCTCCTTCCTGTCTTCCCATAAGGCCAGAGAAGGCATCAGACGGCAAGCAGTATTGAAGTGAGACGTGACGGGAGAGAAGGCATTCATCCTTCAAAGCTCAGACACCCTTCCCTGGAATGCGCCCCTGTTGTTAGTCTTTGCTCTTGGTTGACCTGCTTTGGTAGGAAGCAGGATGTGCTCCACTCAGCTCACTGGTTCACATTCTACTCCACTGGGTGTGGTATCCACCGGGCTGTTGACCAGGGGTTCATTTAGTCACTCATAATATGTGAGGACTCCACAGTTCACAAAACCTGTTCATGTTCATTTGATCTTCACAACAGCCTCACAAGGAAGGAACTCACATCGTTCCTAGTTTAGAAAGGAAGAAACTGAGGCTCAGGTGTCTCTAAGCCAAGATGAGTCTGGCGGTTTATTTCACCAGCGCTGGTGGAGCCCCTGTCAGCCCCATGCCCTGCTGAGCAAGCTGCCTGGACAAACGTGGGGCCTGGGCACAGAGGGCAGACATTTCCCAGTCTGCTGCTTCTGTCTTCAGGAGTCAAGCCATTTCCTGAGTACCAACTCTGAACTAGGCATTCTGGTGGGTGTGAGAACTCAGTTACATCATTCTTGACTTCTAAGAGCTTGCAGTTTCCGTGGAGAGATGAGAATTTTGGGTGTAAGAGTAACCAATGCCACTAGGCCAAATCAAGTTGGCTTGGGAGAAATAAAACAATTTAAGAGGCCAGCTGGCCTCAGCTGCAAATGGTCCTTAGTGGAGGTGGGACCTGTGCTGTTTTCTACAGGAAGAGCAGTTCATGTTCGGGTAGGGAGGACATGGAACAGTATTCTAAGAGGAAGACCGTGCTGAGGGCCTGGAAGGAAGACAGCAGGAAACTGGAGACAGGGAGGCCAGTTTGTTGTAGACCAGGGGAGGAGAGAAAGGCAGCATGGGTCTTTGTACAGGAGAAAAGAGAGATGTATTAAGTTCCAGAGGGAGCTCTTGAGCTGGGTCCTGCTGGGGGAGAAAGAAGACTGGGACAGTGGGTGTCATTTACCCCCAGGGCCTTGGCCTCAGCTTCAGGCTGTGTTGTCCTGAGAGTACAGCTACCTTTTCCCCATGTGCTTTAGGATTACCTCAGACTCCTTTTGCCATGGGGGAAGGATACCCAAGGATCTGGGTCAGGCAGCATGAACACATACCCAGGGGCTGCACAAGCAGCCCTCCACTGACCGCTCTCAGCTCACCTCCTACCATATCTCCTATTACTGACCACTTCATTCACAAAGCCCCTGCCACACTGGCCTTCGCCTATTCATCCAGCATATTGATATCTTTCTGCCACAGGGCCTTTGCATTGGCTGTTCCTTTTGTCTGGAATAATTTTCTTCTAGCTCAGCACAGGTATGGCTCTTTCTCATCTTTGAGTTTCACTGGTCAGAGTGACCTTCTCTGACCTCTCCATGTTCAGATGGAGTCAGTCCCTCCTACCTCCCAGTAACTCTTCGTTACATCACACTATGTCCATTACCTTGAGGGCACTCACTATCTGCTGTAATTTCCTGATTACTGTCTTTGTATTCCCTCTAGAATAGAAGCCCTATGAGAGCGTGAACCTGGTCTATCTTGTTGCCCATACAACATGTACTGGTCTGAGTAGACAGTCAATTGCATTTGCTGAATTGATGAATGAGCACCATTTCTCTCCAAATCTCCTTAGTCACACTCAGACAGTATTAAGGGTGGACAGGGTTTGGGGAGTGAGCAGGTCTGTGGATCTCTTGGAGTTACAGGCATCCTTCTATATTTGCATTCTTTTCCCTGGGAAGTAGATTGGTGGTAATCACCATGTTCTTCACCAGATGCTCCTGGCTCTCCATCTTCTGGGCAAAGGATAGAATTGTACTCCCTTGGCCCTTTTGAAATGAGGCCTTGTCCTGGGATTTGTTTTGGCTTCTGAAAAGTGAGTGGAAGGGATGTGTGTCTCTTTGGGACAGACACTGTAAGAGCAAGTGTATGATTCACCACGCTCCTTCCCTCCACCATGATCGCACCATGACTGTGGGTTGTATATTGAGACGGAGCCTCTATCAGTCTGAGTCTCTGAATGACTTCAGTGAGCAGAGAACCCACTGACCCATGCTGGACATGTAGCAGGAGCAGGAATTAAACTTTGGCTGTGTTAAACCATGAAGATTTTGCTTGTATAGCCTAGCCCATCCTGACGGATAAAGAGTCCCAAGTTTTTATCAGGTTCTCAGAGGAGTCTGTTAGCCAAATACAATCAAGAACCATTGGCTCAGGGATCAGCTGGAGTGGTAGGGAAATGCAAGAAAGGTAGAACTCATGTACAGTACATGCCCCATTATGTGCAAGACGCTTTGCTGCAGTGCTTCATGTATGTTATTGCATCAATTCTCCAGCAACCTTGTGAGGCAGCTAGTATTAACTTCATTTTGCAGAAGAAACAGACTTAGAGAATTTAAGGCATTGCTACTAGAAGTGTGGTGGGCAGACCAGCAGCATCCGTATCACCTGAGAGCTTATTAGACATGAAGAATCTTGGACCCTTTCCTAGTCCTATTATATCAAAATCTGCATTTTGACAGTGTCTCAGGTGATTTGTGTGCACATTAAAGTTTGGGGCACATTGATTTGAGGAGTTCACTTGATGATCTCTATCTAGCTCATAGACGGGGGACCCAGGCAGCAATGGCTCAAGAGATAGGATAGCATCCCCACTCTGCCCTACCATCCCTTGTGGGGAGAGTGGGAATCAGGATGCAGGATTTGAGTTAGGCATCTGATCTCCCTCCCAGCTTGTGTTCATTGGCTCCCCTGGCAGATACATCTTCAGCCAGTTTGAATGGTTGGTTGTGACCATTTATTGACTTCAAAAACGACTCAGATCATGTGTCTAGGGTTGTGTTCCTTCCAGCTGTGGATCTGTGGAACAAACAGCAGTCGTGGACTGGAGGTGAAGTCAGACTTGGGTCTAGAGTGGGGAAGACCTACCCTCGCTATACCTGATATGACTGGGGATCTGGGGTAATACCTTGATAATGGCAGTCACATGTCTTGGTGCCTCTGAGATGACAGAATTGGGTCCCCTTGGCATTGAGCTTGATGCCTCTGATCTTGAAGTGCCTCAGTGGGTGCTAAATATTCCAGAAGATCTTGCATGTTGCCTGAATCTGCCAGTGGCCAGAACACAGATCTTAGAACCCTACATTTCCTGCTTCCATCTCCAGGGACTGAGTGATGCTACTCTCTTACCATGTTATAGATGAGGAAATGAGCAGGAAACTGTGCCAAGAGAAAGATTGCAGCCCCCTGCAGACATGGCCAGAGCTGAGCATCTGTGGGAAGAAGATCCCAGCGGCCCATGGCCTCTGGCACTCTTATCGGTTGATGGCATTCATCTCTGCAGAGCCACAGTGGACTTGCTAAGGAAATTGAAGCTCTTAGGCAGGGAAGCACAATTTGGCCTCTTCCTACTAAAATTACAGACCATTTTTAGCTCTTTTCTTTCCACGCATTTAGATTTTCCATAAAAAAGGCACAGTGCCCTCTCCCTCAGTTAAAATCTAGTTATCCATTCAGCTAAGTGAGAAATCTCATATTACAGAATTATTAATTAATTCAACAAATATATATTGGGTGCCTGCTGAGTGCCAAGCACTGGGGCTAAGAAAAGTAATAAAGTGTTTTTTTTTTCATTTGTTTAGGCCCTGGGTTGGTTCAGATATAAAGAATAAAACAACAGTGACCTGTCTTCAATTGCCCACAGTCCAGGGAGGCAGGATTTTACATTGCTGCCATGTGGAGGATTGAGGTGTACATAGAGTAATCCCTGGGTGTGCACAGAAGTAGATGACAGTGTGGGGCAGTGGCTTAGTGTGTTGGCTGAGGACTCAGACTTGGATTCCTGTTCTGGCTTTAGAATTTGCTCCCTGAGAGCCACATCTATTAGACAGAGATAGCAAGAGTGTCTGATGGTGAGGATAGAAGGAGAGCACTGCCATTGATTGAACTCTTTATTATAAGCCCAATGTTGTGTTAAGTTACCCGAGACGCAGGATTATTGGAGGCTTGCGCAGCTGGTGCTAACAGGAGTTTGGGGTGAATGGGCATTACCATTTGAGAGCCTCCTTTATTAGCTGGGGAGTGAGTTGTCCAAGGTGCCAGATCCAGCTGGTGGCAGAGCTGTCTCTTGTTCCCAGGCCTCTAGCCTCTTTCTGCATTGACTGGGCACTTGCCCCACTTTCCCAAGCTGGGCTCGGGTTTTGTTCCGATATGGAAATGTGACTGCAGAGGGGCTGAGGGTAGCAGAGGCTCACCCAGGACGGCCGCCAGCTCCCTTCCCATGGATCAATGGAGCCCACACCTCCAGTTGGCAATCTGTAGAAAAACAAATTAAAACAGAGAAGCTCTCATTTCCTTTTTCCCCTCATCCTGCCCTGACAGATTTATTTTGGAAAGCGACAGGAGGCTAATGGAATCACTTAATTTCCCTGATAATAAATTACCCCCAAGTGCAATAATTAAACGTTTCACAACAAACAGTTTCCTTCTGCAAAACCTCCCTCATAGGTTTCTCCTGCTCTGCCAGCCCTCCTTCCTCCCCCTTCCTCCCCGCTGCCCTCTACTCCACCCTGAGTTGGCCTGGCCTGTCTAGTGAGTCATCTTTCGTTTCTGGGCTTAAGGAAGCTGACCCAGGCAATCACCCGGGGCCAATAGGAGAACCCTATAGGAATATGGGACAGAAAAGAATGTGTCAGGAAAGAAGCAACCAGATCAGGGTTTGAATCTTGGCTCTGGCACTTCCCAGCTGCATGACTTGGGAAAGTCACTTAATTTCCATTTGCTTTGGTTTCTTCATTTGCAAATGGGGATAAAACCGCTCAGCTGGCAGAACCCTGATAAGGCTTAGAATCAGTGTGTGCAAAGTCCCTGGTGCATAATAGGTCTTCAGCAAATAGGAACTGTCAAAAATTAATGTTTCCAGTTTTTTTTTTTTTTTTTTTTTTTACTTACACTGCCCTGAATTGTTGGAGTGGGAGAGAAAGAGAGCTAGAAAGAGCGACAGACAGAAAGAAAGAAAGAGAAAGAGAAAAAAAGAAGGAAAAGAAGTGAGCTGAGGTGGGCGTCTCAGACCACTGCAGGGCTGGAGAGAGCAAATGAGGCTTTGTCAAGTGGTGCTCAAACCTTTATGTAATCATGCACGCCACAGCTAAGGGACAGCACATATTTGCCAATCTTCCTAGCCAGATGTCTGAGGCTTCACAGCAAGCTGAAAGGGGCCAGCTGGAATTTGGAGACCTGTCTTTGTTCCCTTGCGACTCAGAAGCTGGGTGCCCGTCTGCACATTAGCAGATTTGGAAGCGATGATGGCATTTTCCCCTATGATGCGTGATTAATGTACAGTTGACTGTGGAATGCACAGCTGTTGGATATTTCAAGGCAAACACCTCCATAAGACTGAGAAAATACCTGGGTTTATATGATGCAAGGTCCAGCCTTGGTGTTAGTTAGATACAATAGGCAAGGGTCAACACTGCCAGCCCTCTGGCCTGGAGGATGCGGACAGGGTACTTTGCCATCTTCTCACTGTTATCATCTGTAAGAAGGACATTATGCAAAACATCCTGTTTGCTCATGGTTTCCTCTTATGTCTTGCATATGTCATCATGCACGTCTGGCTCCAGCACTGGGCTCAATGCAGTTGGGATCCACAATGGACAAGTCCCTTCAAGGCCAGTCCAGAGGGGTATTAAGGGTGTTCACATCTGTACTAAAAAGGGCAGAGGCAGGGGAAAGTGTTCTATATTGGAAGCTTCGGAAAAGCAACCACTTTTTTTTTTTTTTTTTGTGACAGAGTCTTATTCTATCGCCAGGCGCCAGGCTGGAGTGCAGTGGCATGGTCTTGGCTCTCTGCAGCCCGCATCTCCTGGGTTCAAGCAATTCTCCTGTCTCAGCCTCCCAAGTAGCTGGGACTACAGGTATGCGACACCATGCCCAGTTAACTTTTGTATTTTAGTAGAGACGGGGTTTTACCATGTTGGCCAGGATGGTCTCAATCTCTTGACCTCATGATCTACCCACCTTGGCCTCCCAAAAAGCAACCACTTTTAACTGGCAAAATGAGAAACACTTTGTGGACTAGTGGGTGAAAGGAATTCTCTGAATTGAGGCTCTGAAAAATGTTTTCAGCCTGTTACTTGGATCTGATGGAAGTTATCACTTTATTTTCTCGCAGGCACTCTACCTCCTTGTGTCTCAGTTCCATCATTTATAAAGAGAAAAGGATAATTTCTGCCTTACTTGAAAATTAA